AAAATAAACTACTACTTACTACTTGTACTACTATTCCTACTTTGTGGTTTTTCACTTATCGCAGGTCTTCAGAGTACGGATCCCCCGCGATAAACGAGGGACTACTGTATTCTTTTGATGAAATTTACTTTAAACCGTTTAAGATAATTGTCAACATCTTAAGACAAATTGTCCTGTGATTTGTACCTGCTGAGAGAGAGAGTGGGGCATCGTAGGCATAGCAACAGCTGCTCCCGGCGTCATTCCTCCCAAAGAGAACGTCATGCTCTGAGAAGCACTGAGTGTTGCATGTGGACTGGTCAGTTGATTGTTAACTCCGCCCATCAGGTCCAGAAGCTCAGCAGACGGTGGAACAGTGGTGGACTTAGAGGCTGGTGTCGTATTCGACTGGCTGCTGCCAAACAGGTCAGCCCCAGGCTGGGATGGACCAGAGCTAGAAGCCGGGGGATTTCCTGAAAAGGAATTCCAGTCACCAAATTCTCCATTTCCACCGGACGGCACAGCAGCTAATAACAAGACAGTAACGGCTGATTCATGTTTATTTTAAGCATAGTAGAAAAAAGTAAAAAAATAAAATAAAATAAAAACTTGTAGAAAATAATAATTATAAAAATACCTAACAGCTATAACATACACAACAGAAAAACCTAACAATGTCTCTGAAATAGAGTTATTATAAAGTATTTTTTTAAGTATTACTGAAAAAAAAAAAAAGAGGATTAACTCAAGATTTTGCTACAAAACATAAGGATATGCTGCATGATTTTGAGAGTTTTATGATAATGATTTCAAACAGTTGAGGTTTCTTATAGCACACGCCAACAAAGAAGATGTTTACCTGTGGAGGTGGGGAGGCTTGCAGAGGCCGCAGGTGAGGAAAAGTCAGCAAATCCTCCAAAGAGGTCTGAACTGCCTCCTGAATGAGTGGACACAAATATACATTTCTACAAAAAAACAGAACTTCCTTTTTTAATCAAAAAGCTTGTTGTAGTTACCTGCTGCTGCGCTCTCACTGGATGAAGGGTCAATCACTAACAGGTCAGCCAGTCCACTACTGGAAGATCTGTTGACTGTTGACTGAAGAGAGTGGGATACAGGAAGAGAACAATAAATGTGTAAACAATGAATATCTGTGCCATGTTAGAATCAAAAACCTGTGAAGACCTTTTCTTCGGGGCTCTTGTCTCCTGTGTAGTGCGCTGCAGCACCCAGGTCCAGCGTCTTGCAGTTTGCTGCTCCGCTGCGTTTCCGTGTGGTGGTGGTTGTGGTTTCTGTTGCTTGTGTGATCTGGATGCTCTTTGTTGTGACAGTTTCCTCTTCGTCTTTGAACTCGACTGTTTCCTGCCTACTGTTTCTTGATGTTCTGTCCTCCTCGTTGTCACTATGGCAACCAGATGATTTTTAAAAAAAAATCAGGAGCTGAAGATGAGATGAAGCTGTTCTTTAGTTGCTCTGCTGTTACAGTATGTCTAAGAGTGATGTCCTCTTGTTCTCTGTATATTGCTGGTTATTAATATAACTGTTCATTTATTTTAGAAAGGTTTAAATATGTTGCAAACCAGTCAAACCGGCTGGAAAGTGAGGCACATTTTTCATTACATTACACTAACTAGTTTGCCACAGCGATAAAAATAAACCTACAATTAATCAGATTACTTTTTTAAAAAGCATTAATTTAGGAAGTATTAAAATGTTGACCTGATTCTGTCAGGAGAGTCATCCCGTTCCTTCTTTCTGAACTTATTGAGTGTGTCGTCGATGGTGCTGCCGATCTTATCACCGATTTCTCCGAGCTTCTCACTGAAAGGGAAAGCTCCTCTGCTCTTGTCCCAGTCCTCATCCCACTTACTCCGATCCAGTTCATTAGCTGGAAGTAAAAAATCAGGAAAATAAGAATTCATATCAGTGATCAAGTGGCATAAACTTCCCATTTTCAACTAAATGCAGTATTTAGCACACACTGAATTTGATCTGCACTGTTTTTATTACTTTTATTGATCTTAATGTTTTAACAACTGTTTTTATGTGTTTAAATGTTCTTGATTTTATATGTACAGCACTTTGTGGCAGCTGTGGTTGTTTTAAAGGGCTTTATAAATAAAGTATTATTATTATTATTATTATGAATATATCTATTTTAGACCCATTTACAACTGTTTTGCTGTCGGTTTACAATTTATTTTTTTACACTTTTCCAATTTTATATATATATATATATTTAATCCTGTTAATGTCAAAAGACCTCAAGGAGCTACTTACAATTCTTAAAGGTGCCCCCTCCTCCACCCATGCTCTCAGAAGACACTCCGATGTATTTATCTTTGTTCTTCTTTGCTTTCTTCCTCTCCTCTCTAAGTCTGTCATCATCTTGGATGAACTCCACCATCTCCTTCACCTTCTGACGCACATTGATACCCTGATCCTTACCATTCTCATCTGTATACAGACACAAGAACACAGTTATAAAAGATATCTAAAGCAGCAGAACTAGTAGCCAACTTGCAAGGTCACTGATACTCAACGGTAGATTTGTGACAACCTGCCTCAAAAATCACTGTTGTTTACTGGAGTTTAATTCAATTCAATTCAAAAATACTTTATTAATCCCAGAGGCAAAACAACATGAAATGCTGGATTTTTGGCAAACTTTAACACAAAATACAAATATACAAAGAAGATTTAAGAGTTTAATATGTATTAAGAAGGCTGTTTTTCTTAGATTCACCAATGAAGTGGTAATTTTCTAGAGATCGCAGGTCGTAGATGTGTTCTCTGGCGCTGGTTACAACTCTCTCAGACCCATTCCTGATCAGATAGGCCAGCAGGAGTAAGGCCTGCAGAAGAGAGAATTAAAAAAGAAGTGAACATGATCTGTTGCCAAGAAATTTAAATTCATAATGCCAGTAGTTGTCAAAATATGCTACTATTCAATGTTTTGGGTTAGAATGTTTACATCATTAAATGATCGTTTGGAGGCAATACGACTCAAAATGATCTGGGTTTGTGTCAGAAAACAACAAATAGCCTTTTTTAACAACTAAATTTAATGATCAGTTGCAAAAATTCTCCTGCGAAGAGTTCAGAATATCTCGACGCAGCTCATTTGCACATGATCTTAGACTTAACTTTTGCTTTAGTGCTGGAGTTCCTTTCCATAAAGAATACTTCTGTTAATTCTCATCTTTACAGTTTTTAATTGTTTCCATTCAGAAGTCAACCCAGCATCTCTGATTCAGTAGTTCCTCATCGAACTCTGTTTACATATGGGGATTATTTTAGACTGAATATCTGTCGTGTGCCAAGACTGTCCAAATGGTACACAAATTGTTGCTATAAAAATATATATTGAGTACGTTTCTTTCGGCTTCTCCCTTCTTCAACACAGCGAGCGAACTCGCATGAAAGATTTGGCAATTTGTTTTATGCCAGATGCCCTTCCTGACGCAACCTGGACTCGAACCCGCATACCTCAGGATTATAAGACCATGGCACTGACCACCAGCCACCTGCTTTAAAATCAGAATCTACTTTATTGTCATTGCACAGTTAAGCACGGCGACAATTCATTCCAGTGCAGCCGTCCAACAAGGGTAGACGGAAATGCATGGAGGGCTGCAGCTTCGTGTGAAGTGCTGCTCTTATCACTTAGATTAAAAAAAGGGAATAAAAACATGAGGAAAGAAGGTTTAAAAAAGATCTCTCACACTGTGTCCTTGACACAAATTGCTCCTGGAGAATATGTAAATCATGAAGCTCTGCCCCTCCCCGCTCTCCCCTCTGAACTGGCTGATAGACACTGTGCCATCTTTATCAGGACTATGGAACTTCCTGGTTGTGTTCACGGACAATCTCACCATCTTGTCAGCTCCCTCCCCCCCTGCAAAATGTCTTATATCGATGTTGCTGCTGAGGTAGTTTTTTTTGCTACCTTACACAAAAAATTTATGTATATTAAAAAAAAAACACTGCGGCTAAAAATAACACGGACACAGCTGCCAACCAGATTCATACCTTGTAGACTCGTCTCCAGTTTTTCTTGTTATCTTTCAACATCCTGGTCCACAGCATGTTCATCACCTCTGGGAACTGCTCGTACATAAACGTAGCTCTATGCACAAACACACAACCAAAATTAATGTTTTACAATTCAGATATAAAAAGAATACGTAAAACACAACAGAATCAGAACATATTCTAACATTTTTCCATGACATTAGGTCACAGTGCAAATCATCTGCATCCTTATGACAGCAAACATGCATCTAAACCAGGCGTAGGAGTGTTTCACATACTTGGCTATTTCTCCCATGAGTTGCCCAGAGGGTCCCCAGGGGTCATCGTTGGTGGCTTCTCTGACCTTTGACTCAATCTCAGAGTAGTTCATAACCACATTAGTGCTGTTGGCAGAAACAAATACTGCGTTCAGAAACGACAGTGAAAACGCCATCATTTATATCAGGATCAAATAAATACAGGTTTTCCTCCCATTTTTATTTCTTTTTAATTGTTGTGGTCCAGTTGCCTCTGCTGGAGGTTCTCTGTGCTGTTTGACAATTTACTCGCCCTGTTTCCTGAGACAATCTTTTATGCACATTTTTTTGTTATTTTATGTACAACCAGACACAATGGATGTAGATTAATACATGAGAAGTAGATACATTTTTTGAGCACATCAATTATTTAGGAAATTAAATTTTAAAGCAATATGAAAACCAGAAAGCATAGTTTCCACAAATAATAGAGGTGGTTGGTTTATATATAT